AGCTTCCTGAGAGCACACGACTTCTGTCTCATCTATTATGAGGCTTCTGACACTAATGACACTATGACTCTAATCAAGATGTGCATGGAGTTGCCAGCAGGAATCAAACCTCATGATTCTGGTGGAAATAATGGTATTGGAGCCAAATAACAATTAACTAAACAAAAAAAGGCATGATAATAAGTCTGCTAACAGTTCATGTATTCTTTGATAGACTTATTTGTTGAGAGTGGTTTCTTGAACTTTCTGTATGAATTTCAAGATTCAGGTGAAAAAAAATCTGGCTTGTTGAATTATTTAATCTTATTGATTTTTCTAGTTTGCTGTTTTAGAGATACAGCCAGAGACCAGGAGTATGTTTTGAATTACAAATTTCTAAATACTTAAAATGATGGTACAGTAGAAGTGACTGTAAAAGTATCTTCAATTATTTTTATATCTACATGTCTCATATTAGAGAAACTCCATTTTGATAATTTATAAAATTTGGATATCATGAACTAATTCTCTATATGTGATTTAGTTATTCTTTTCCTGCCAAAGTTAGGCTTGTGCTTGAGGAAGGAAGTGGGTTAAAAAGGGAGGCAGGGCTGACTACCCTAACATAATGGAACACAATATACTTAGAAGTGAGCATTAGGCTATAACTATCAATCATGTTGTTATATTTCAAGTACAATATATTATTTTTGCCTGGTCTATTCATGTTTTCAGATGCATAACTATAATGAATAGCTTTTCTGTATTCAGATATATTTTGAATTATATGAAGTATAAGCAATTAGGATAGATTAAAAAGAAAAAAAAAAAAGAAACAGGACATAGCCAGCACTGCAGGTAAAGCTGCTGCCTGCAGTGGCTGCATCCCATATGGGTGCTAGTTCTAGTCCCGGCTGCTCCACTTCTGATCCAGCTTCCTGTTATGGCCTGGAAGAGCAATAAGAGATGGCCCAAGTCCCGGGGCCCCTGCACCAACATGGGAGACCTGGAAGAAGCTCAATGCTCCTGGCTTTGGATCAGCCCAACTGATCCAAAGTTGTGGCCATTTGGGGGAATGAAACAGTGGATGGAAGACCTCTCTCTCTCTCTCTGCCTCTGCCTCTCTGTAACTCTGCCTCTTAAATAAATAAATAAATAAATAAATCTTAAAAAAAAGCAGGACATAACATAAAAATGCAACTAATTGTTGTTAAACTAACTAAACAGCCATCTCAAAAATAGTTCAATATTGGCAAATTCAATCTAATATTAAAAATTATCCATGTGCTTTCAATTTTTTTCTTTCTATCATTCTACATAATGTAACATTAAAGAATCTGGTGAGGCCATGAAAGATCAGTTCTCCCAGCATCATGCTCTTTCCATGTGTCACACTGTCTTAAAACAAATTGGCACAGTAAGTCACTTGAATATGTTTATTAATTATAGTGTGTCCTGGGAAAATGAATAGTGAAATAACAGAAAAATCATGCGAGTGGGTTTTTTTTTTTTTTTGACAGGCAGAGTGGACAGTAAGAGAGAGACAGAGAGAAAGGTCTTCCTTTGCCATTGGTTCACCTTCCAATGGCCGCCACGGCTGGCGCGCTGCGGCCGGTGCACCGCGCTGATCCGATGGCAGTAGCCAGGTGCTTCTCCTGGTCTCCCATGGGTGCAGGGCCCAAGCACTTGGGCCATCCTCCACTGCACTCCCGGGCCACAGCAGAGAGCTGGCCTGGAAGAGGGGCAACCGGGACAGAATCCGGCACCTTGACCAGGACTAGAACCCGGTGTGCCGGTGCCACAAGGCGGAGGATTAGCCTAGTGAGCCACGGCGCCGGCCTGCGAGTGTGTTTTAATTATCATCATCCTAACTCAATGCACACATCTTCATGTAATTCAAATACCATTCTAATAACCAAAACAGAATAGAGAATAGTGGGTAAAAAGAGTTAGAGAAAAAACCATAGAACACTGGGGCCAGTGCTGTGGCATAGCAGGTAAAGCTGCCACCTGCAGTGCTGGCATCCCATACCCATTTTTTTTTCTTCCCTTTTCCTTTATTTTCCAGGTTGTACATTGCCATTAAGCTTTGTAAGTAAACATAGTCTAGTGAGAACACATAATACAGATCTATTAAATAATAGATCACTCAATGTAATTAACCCATTTTCCCCAGTGTTCTTTAAACTAAGAGCCTCAAGTGTTATAGAAAAAGTAAAAATGCATCCTGCTCTTTTAATATCTGACATTGCAAAAATTTCAGTTCAGAATTAGTCATTCTTATTTCTTTCAGGAAGTATAATTGCCCACCTGTATTTTTTTAACTAGTATGAATGATACCATAAATATAATATGTTACTTATGATCTTTGTGCTTTCCTGCTTTCCCCCTCTTTTTATCAAAAAATGGATGTTGACTTCATTGTACTAGATAAACATGAGTCTATAGCAAAAAAATAATATTCATTCTTGATGGCCATTCCTGGAGAGGAGAGACAACTGGGTGCAGCTCTTCTTTGGTATATTTGTTTTTTAACTGACTAGGCTTTAATTCCTTCCTCTTTTTGCATTAAGAATCCATTCCTCTGTATACTTTGCTATTGTAATCCCAGGGATAAGAAATCTAAACTCTTTTGACTCTATCCAGAATGGTTTTAGAATTTCACAGCCAGAAAATAGCACTCTATTTTGTATCCAGTAAATAGACACTATTTCCTTATTTTCCCATTTTTAAGATATAGATTATATATATGTGTAATATATATATATATCGTTTTGTTATGTTGCTGATGTATACATTTCTTTTCTGCATCTGAGTAGTATGAAGGCAACCCCCAATCTTGTCTCAAGCTATGGGATACTTCTCTACCCAGGTTAGCATTCTAATCGGCGATTTGAGATTCCCTGACTATATATTTTTTCAGACTCTGAGATTCAAAATCATTTCTTTGCAATCCAGTACAGAAAAATTTAACTACCAGTTTCCTTTGCTAATGAGCAAAGGAATTATATTGTTATTAATTAATTATATGGAAATTATAATATTCCTGGCTATCTTTCATGACAATCCAAGAATTATCAAACAGTTGGAATTTTGAGCAGATATAATATAATATAAACTATATAATATAAACATAAATTTTACACATAATGAATTAGAGGCCCAAAGGCATGATATAAAGACTCAAGATTAAAGGGCTAGTTAGATTATCCAAAAATGTAGCTTTCATAATAAAGTGGTAAAGAATTTAATCTTGTTTCATTGTTCTGATTCAAAATACTAATTGCGGTCTTTGTCTCCTGTCTGCATGGAAAAACCTCAGGCCTGTCCTGCTGGATGATTTTTCTACTCTGATAGTGCCAGGGGTGGAGCAGAATTTTTTTTTTTTTTTTTTTGGTAATAAACTGTTTGAAAACTTGAGTAGCTGACCATGATTTTTTTTTTTTTTTTTTGACAGGCAGAGTTAGACAGTGAGATAGAGAGACAGACAGACAGAAAGGTCTTCCTTCTGGTGGTTCACCTCCCAGATGGCCGCTACAGCCGGCACACTGTGCCGATCTGAAGCCAGGAACCAGGCGCTTCCTCCTGATCTCCCATGCGGGTGCAGGGCCCAAGCACCTGGGCCATCCTCCACTGCCTTCCCGGGCCACAGCAGAGAGCTGGACTGGAAGAGGAGCAACTGGGACAGAATGACAGAATCCGGCTTCCCAACCAGGACTAGAACCCGGGATGCCGGCGCTGCAGGTGGAGGATTAGCCTAGTGAGCCGCGGTGCCAGCCTACCATGATCTTAACAGTTACTTTACAACACTTCTGAGAAGAGAATGTGAAAGTGATTCTGTTAAATATGTATTTTGGGCTACACAGGATTTCTACTTTTTTAGGACTTTCTGAGAGTTCAGTAAATAGCAGATAGAAGCTCTCTCAGAGGGGCCTTTAGATTCTTAGATTCTTTCCCAATGTTCTGCTTTCCCAGGGCCTCTAAATCTTCAATATATTATGTGAAGCCACTTATAACTACTAGAAATGGCCATATATTGGAAATTCCAGGTAGTCTTACCTTTTCATATAGTGGGACATTTCTAGGATCATTGATCCATAGAGCCATAGAAATTTCTAGGATCACAGGTCAAAATATTGAATCTTGACTATAATAACAATGGTGAAGAACCTTTCCCTGTAATGTAAGGAATGATCAAGGACCTCTTACTAGTAAATGGGAAGTGAATTTAAAGAGAGGAAGGACAAAGAAAGCAAAATGGATAAAGTTATGCTTAGCACTTTGGCGGGGGGGGAAGGAAGGGAGGAGAGGTGAGGGAACAGGGTAACAGGGATAAGGAGGGGGACTGGAGGGGTTTAGGGATGGGGCTGGGAGGGGTGAAGGAGTGTGGGGAGCTCCCAAGATTCTGCCGCGCACTTGCTTAACTGTTTACTGGAGTGATCCTTATGTGATATGCATAGCTTTAAGGTACAAAAGTCTTTTTTTTTTTTCACCAGAAAATACATTTTGAACAGTCTCCTTATATACAGCTCAACTTTTCCTTATCTGGGCAAAGTGAGAAGAAAGACATATAACACATGTTTCACAGCATTCAAATGTATTGTTGAGAAATTAACTATGGATCCGCCTTTCTTCCTCATCTAAAGTTATACAAATACTTTCTTGGGTACATTTTAATTATTACTTTTACTTGATAACTATGTACAGATACATACATACATACAAATAAACACATATATAATCTCAGTTCTTCTTATATTATCAAGTTATTCCATGTAATTGAATAAAAGTATGCAGAACACATATCATGTATCAAATACTGTGTCAGGTACTAGATATGGGATTCTATCAGAATGTATTGTTTCTAAGTTGCTTGTCAAACCCAGTACAATGAAGGCAAATAAACAAAATGTAAGAAGGGCTCATTTTCAATCACACAATTCAAGTCATTTAATATGATACCATGGTTACTGGTTCATGTCAGCGTTGGCAGTTGCATGCATTGCTTTTATCGGTCTTACCTGAAGGATCTTATCACCAGGCTGTAGCAGGTTGGATGCTGGCCCATCAGGCTGAACCCTAGTAACAAAGATACCCTATAGGTCAGAAGTAACAGAGGTTAGGATTCTATTACCAACAACTAGGTCTATTAATACAAAATTTCATTCATATTAAAATAATAAAAGATAGATTAAAAACAGTTTATACATGTAAGCTTCAAGATTACCATTATATTTTAAACAAGGCACCATTCTTCTAGACAGGTTTAAGAAAAGCAATGTGTTCTATTGTAAAAAAAAGAGCCCATTTTGTTTTTAAAGTGTTATGATTTACAAATGGATCTTGCAGCATAGTCAATTTTTTATAAATAATTTGAAATATGATATCGAATAATCTTCTGTATGAGTTCTAAATTTGTCCGAAGTTACTCTACATTAAAAATGTCTCCCATGGGACCAGCACCATGGTGTAGAGGGTAAAAGGTACTGCCTGTGATGCCAGCATCCTATACAGGCACCAGTTCTAGTCCTGCTGGTCTACTTCTGATCCAGTTCCCTCTAAGGCACCTGGGGAAGCAGAGATGGCCTAAGTGCTTGGGCCCTCCACCCATGATGAATCTCCTGGCTTCTGACTTTGGTCTGGCCCAACATTGCTGCTGCAACCATCTGGGGAGTTAACTAGTAGATGGAAGGTCTGTGACTTTGACTGTTAAATAAATAAGTAAATCTTTAAAAAGACTCTTATTTGAGGAGTTATAAATTCAATCTATACTTTAAAACCTTAACTAGAAATATATATATGTATTACTGAGATTTTTAATATTAAATATGTAAGAGAAAATTAAACATAAGAAAACTGCAACATATTTAAATAAAATTTATGTCTACATAGTTACAAAATCGCTGGGCAAATTAATCTAATTTATTAAAAAGTCATTAATTTTGTTAGTGATATATAAAATAGCAAACATTAATTGATTGCCAACCACATGTTGAGCCTGGATTTTATGATATACAGAGATATATAGAATATAGTTTTTGGTTTCAGTGAGCTCACAATCTAATGGAATAGAACTAAAGACAAACATTATAAAACAGTATGACAAATTTATGATCGATAGCAACTTGTAAAGAATTCGTACCAGTTTAAACTTGGTAAGAATGGAAAATATTTGGCAATAAAATATACTGAATCACTGATACTTGCTACAGCATGGATGAACCTTGAAAACATTATACTAAATGAAAGAAGCCAGTCACAAAAGGCTTTATATTCTATGAATCCATATATATGAAATGTCAAGAATAGGCAAATGCATAGAAGCAGTAAATAGATTAGTTTGCCTGAGGCTGGGGTATAACCATGTATATAAAGCTTCTTTTTGAAGTAATAAAAGTATTATGAAATTAGAGTAGCACAACTCTGTGAATATACAAAAACCACTCGATTGTACTCTTATGCTTTGAAAGGATGAATTTTAAAGTATGTGAATTAATGTCAACATAGCTGTTATTTTTTAAATTCCAAATAATTATTCATAAAATATAATATTTTAATATCCTTGCCTGATATTTAGAAAATCATGTTATTTTCTAATCTGTAAACTTAATGACTTTTACTTAAACCCATAGCTTTATGTATGTGTGCACATATGTATGTAAATGCCTTAGCAAACTGACCCAAATTAAACTACTTCTGCTCACATTTTTCTTCAGCATGTCAGATCTTTACGAAATTTATACACTTAGGATTTTTGAATTATTTTTATTCTGATTTTAATATTTTCTCTCCCATTTAAAATGAAGCCATGGATAGGCATTAGGATTTCTAAGTCATTGCCAACTTTTAACCTAGTAATTAGGTTTATAGAACTTAAGGAAATTATTGGACAGATTTGCAATGCACATGTACTAATGCATTCATCATAGTATTTGTAATAACAAAAATTTAAAAGCTATACTTAAATGTTTAATAACAAGGCAGTGACTAAAGAAATTATGGTAAGGGGCCAGCGCTGTAGCATGGTAAGTTAAGCCTCTGCCTCTAGCGCCAGCATCCCATGTAAATGCCAATTTGAGCCCTGGCTGCTCCACTTCTAATCCAGTTCCCTGCTGATGGCCTGGGAAAGCAGTGGAAGATGGCTTGGGTCCCTGCACCCTCATGGAAGACCCAGAAGAAGCTCCTGTCTCCTGGCTTTGGGTTGGCCCAGCTCCAGCCTTTGCGGCCATTTGGGGAGTGAACCAGTGATTGGAAGACCTCTCTCCGTGTCTCTCCCTCTGTTTCTCTGTAACTCTGCCTCTCAAATAAATAAATCTTAATAAAAAAGAAATTGAGGTAAATCCATATAATATAATGATGTGCTGTTATTAAAGATGAAGTCCTAGATGATTGATATAGAAGTACATGAATGTTTAGTGACATGAGTGGGTTGTACATTACATGTGGTCTGATAATATTTTTGCTGAAATACATTTATATGTATATTTATGTGGGCAAATATATGGAAAGATATCATTTATACATTAACAGTGTAATACTAGGTAATGAGACATCAGATGTTTTTGGCTTATATGTGTTTTTATTATTTTCTACTATAATTATGCACTATCTTTAGCATTAAGAAAATTATTCAAACTTAAACAATTTTAGGTTAATGAAGGTAATGTTAGAAGTGGTGCTTTAATAGCTTGGGCCAATTCAGTTATACAGATGGTCAATTCAGAAAAAAAAAAAAAAGAAAACTGGTTTGGAAAAGGACTGATAAACAAGGCACAATTAATAATGTACCAGATCACTGAATGACACTGGTTGTGACAAAAAATAGAGCCTCCACAGTACTTTTCACACTGGACACATAGTTCTCAAACCACAGTAATTCAGGAGGCTCTGTATGTGACTAGTCCCTTGAGTAGTCCCCCTCTTTGCTATTTTGGTTCTCTGTGCAGTAGGCAAATGATGCTATTACCCAACATAGGTGACTACATCTCTGGTTGCTGGAGGGGAACTTGTTTTGATTATATTATTTTGTCATAATGCTACTCAGTTAATTTTGCTTTCCCTTCTTCAATTCATTGTTAAGGAACACTTTTAATAATGTTTGTATGAACTCAGACCACAGGAGCTTAATTATGACCATCATATCTGCAATGCAGGGAAGAACTAGCAATACTCTACAACCTGACCACTGAAAGTATACAAACGTGATATCTTGTGGCAGGTGTGTAATTTCATCCATTACATGGCTCTGCAGGATTCAACTGCTGTTCGGAAGACCTGTTCTGAAATTTACTCTTATGATAATCTGAGTCTCCCATAAACACTTCTTTTTTATTATTATATATTTTTATTATACATTTTCAATCAATACATTTCATTAACTAAGAAATTGCTACTGCCCATTCTGTAGATACCCTATCAGCCAGCATACTGCACATTCATGGAAGGAAACAGCAATGTTACATTTGATAATAGTCTGTGGCATTCATTCTGTGAAGGCAGAATGTTTCCCTAAGGAGTACCTACAAAGGAGAGTGCCCTATTTTTTTTTAATCATATCTTTGTACAAAACCACTGCTGTATGAAAGAAGCCAAACAAATCTGAATTCATTTTGGGGTCTTTGTTATGATGAATATCGATGAGAAATATGAAAACTTTAACACTGTTTTGAAAAAGTTCATTGTAGTCATGTGTTTCCCTTTCAGCAATTTATTTTATTCTTATTTTATTTTTTTAATTTTTTAAAATTTTTTGACAGGCAGAGTTAGACAGTGAGAGAGAAAGAGACAGAGAGAAAGGTCTTCCTTTTTCCGTTGGTTCACCCCCCAAGTGGCCACTACAGCCGGCGTGTTGTGGCCGGCGCGCTGCACTGATCCAAAGCCAGGAGCCAAGTGCTTCCTCCTGGTTTCCCAAGGGGTGCAGGGTCCAAACACTTGGGCCATCTTCCACTGCACTCCGGGGCCAGAGCAGAGAGCTGGATTGGAAGAGGAGCAACCAGGACAGAACTGGCGCCCCAACTGGGATTAGAACCCGGGGTGCTGGCGCCACAGGTGGAGGATTAGCCTAGTGAGCCACAGCACCGGCTTATTTTATTCTGAGAAGTAAAAGAGTACTTTGTCACTGATGATGGAATTTGGTAGGGATTCATCAGACTATTTTGCTCTGAAAATTAGAGCAGTAACTCCCTACTGTTTAGATAAAAGTTATCTCCAAACTTCCAGACAACAAGAAGGCATTTTCTGTGTATTAAAGATCCAAGTAATGACATTTTATCAATCTTAGAACTTTGCTGGGAAGATTTAAAATAGGTTCAGTTTCTTACAACGTTTGGTAGAATTCTAAAAGTGGGACATGCTATTATGCAGTACATTCAAAACTAACGAAACAGCCTGTAGACCTCAGGTTGTAAATTATCTTGCTCAAGGATGGGCAACATATGAGTAACTCTTCTTCAGTGAGGCAGTATATATTAGTTTTCTACTGCTGTAACAAGTTATCACAGACTTGGCGTACTGACACATCACAAATGTATTATCCTATAATTTTGTAGGTTAGAAGTCCAGTGTAGGTCTCACTGGGCTAAAACAAATGTGTTGGCAGGGCTGCATTCTAGTGTGAAATCTCTAGGAGAGAATTGATTTCCCTCCTTTCCTACTTTCAAAGAAATATCCATATTCCTTGGTTCATGTTTCTCTTCTTCCACCTTCAAAGCCAGCAATGGTGCATCTCCCTGATCAGTTTTCTGTTGTTGTGTCTCCCCCTGACTATAGCTGGAAAAGTGTCTCCATTTATCAAGAAAAAATGATTTGAGAGGCAGAAAGACTGGAAAGGAGACCGAGAGAAGAAGAGCAAGCAAGCGCTCATCAGCTGGCCCACTCTCTTAAATGCCAGCAATAGCTAGGAAGTTGAAGCCAGGAGTTGGCAACTCAATCCTGTTCTCCCAGATCGGGGGCAGGGACACAATTTGAACTCTCATTAGTGTCTCCTAGGATCTGTATTAGCAGGAAGCTGGAATCAGGATCTGGATCAGGGAATTGAACCCAGGTTCTTTGATGTGAAATGTGGGTGTCACAACTGGTAATTTAATCTCTAGGCCAA